TGGGCTGCTAAATCATTCTCTAAAAGCAAACATCTAACAGGAGAATACAACATCAGACAGGAGAAGGAGAATACACTTAACGGTCACTTGCCGTTGCCCTCCTGAGTAATTAAAGCCAACAATAAATGACTGCACCTCCCACTCTTTCAGACTAAATAAATCCTACAGTCGAGTATCTGTAGGAGGATGGTTCTCATGACAGTGAGACATTTAGACACACAGCTTCATGCTGATTTAGCTCAAGCTGTGTGTTTTTGTGCCAGCAGGACCAAATCATTGCAATCAATGCCCTTCTCCTTTTTTCCTTTTTCTAAAGTGATTTATATCAGTTTGGCATAAGGCAATTTCCTCTCGGCAGGAAGCTGAACCGAGGTAAGCCTCTCTAGACAGGAGTAGAGGTACCTAACACAGAACAGTTTTTCCTTGGGATCCAGCTGGTTTGCCTGATCCAGTGAGCTGTGCTGCTTTCTCACATCATGTGCTTCCCCCAAATGCCTTAATGCAAACCCACTGTCAGTGTTGTTAGGTCTTCATCCTCCTCCCTATCCCATCATGTAACCACTACAAAAACATAAAAGCCCAGTGAAACACCAGATAATCTTACAGTTACTGTCATCATCAGTGGGAAACAAGCTCCAAAGAGGATCTGAGCATAACTGATCTACCCTAGAGCTCTATGGAAAAGGGGGTGGGGCAGATATCATAAAAGAAAGAAAAATAAAAATTGGAGTGTCAAGAAAGGAGGGAGGATGGGAGGATGGAGCAAAAAGACAGCCAGAATGGAACCAGTACCATAGTGCTGAATAAGAAAGAGAAGCCAGAAAGGGGTTTTCACATGCAAAATTAAAACACAGTGCAATAAGGGAGTATTCAGATCACCTTATCACCTTTCAGTCCATGTTCTCCAGGGTTTCCCATCATCCCCTGAAACAAAAGAAAGTCCAGAGTGAGACTGAGCCACTGTGAAGACTTGCTCAGGTATATGACATTGATGTCCCTGATGGGCCCGGTGGCTCAGACCCAGAGCATTGACCTGGCGCAGCCCCAAGTTCAAATGCCAGGCTGCTCCCAAAGCATGCTCCATCACGCATTCATTAAACACCCTTTGTGGGCTGGAGGTGCACAGGGAAAATGCCCCTGGGATTCTCCAGTGACTTACACCTACTGCAGACCGCCAGCGGGATCTTGTGTTCAACAGTCCTGTCCCTGGGTCAATGAACAAGCATTACTACCACCTATCCTTTTTCTCAGGACCATCACTGTCACCCAAAGGAGGAACAGAATAATCTTCAGCTCTGCCATGGAAGAACAAGAGCTCACAGAGCTCAGTTATTCTCTCACCTTTAAGCCTTTTGGTCCTGGATAGCCTATCGGTCCAACAGGGCCCATGTCACCCTAGTAAGAGAAAGAAAATTACCAAAGTCATGAGGTGCAAAACCAACAGATAACTGTATGTGGTGTGAAATTCCTCTTCTATCTGGTCCCTCAGTATCCCTCAATTTATGCGAACTGCACCACTGACTTCAGCAGAAGCAGCATCCTGGTACGAGTCAAGAGACTTTTAATGTGTAGACAGCCTCTAAGTAAAAGCAGCACAGGATGTTTGCCTTGCAGGCACGTGAGGGAAGAAGAGCAGCTCCTATTTGCATCCTGCTCTTGCCACAAAGAAGACACCCCAAAACAGCTTGACATGGGAGATGAGAGCTGTCCCCCATGATCAGCTCACCTGGCCCCACCGTGCTGCTGCCCCTGTGCATGGCCATGGCAACTGGGCAGAGCATGCTGGAAGCCTGGATAACACATGAACATCCTGCTCCTGCACCACAGGATCTATGGGTGTCAGGGAGTGTGGTCAGAATCTGAAAACAGGATCCATGGTCCTGGGTCCACTTAAAAATAGGCTAGTAAATTAATGGCAAAATAATGGAAAATTAATTAAGAAACCACCTTGAAATCTGCAACTGTAGTAGGATCTGAGAAATTTTTTTCATATGTTCTTCCTAACTTTTGAATGGATGAATTTCCGTCTTCCACTATTTGAAAAATTAAAACATTGAGCTGGCTTAAGACAATCCTGGAGTGTATTTATTCTTGCTGAAGTTACTCATGTTCTCAGAAAGAGTCTACCACGGTATTCCTGAGTTCTCTGGAAGGAGTGTGAGGGTGTGTTAAAAAGGACACAGACCCAAACAGCAAAAAAAGCAATAGTTAAGAAATTTGGGTTGCTACTGAGCTCTGATATCTAAAAGTCATATGGGGAGGAAAGAGGAGAAACAGGAGGTAAGGACAGAGGTGTGTCATCAGCGTGGCCATTCTGCTGCAGTGAGAAGTCATCACGGCATCATGTATTGGGACTTGTGTGAGAAACTGCAGCACAGGAGGACACTGGAGTTCACGGTTGCTGTGTGTACCTGCATGTGCACGTATAAAAGAAAGCCTTCAGTGGCCAGCATTTAAACAGGCTTTGACTGCTTTCTGCCCATGAAGGGAGCCAGTGATACAGTGCACCAGCCTTGCCTGCAATGTGTAAATAAACAGGGAAGGCTCTGCTGAAGGAGCGCTTCTCTGGTCAGCAGCCATGGGCCCGCAGCCACACTGGGAGTGCTGGGCTGCAGCCGCCTAAACAGATGCCCTTTTCATACCTCCCAGCATAAAGGCTTCTTGTAGAAACGTGTTTACTTAAAGCTTTGCCCACACAGTTAATTAGGAGAGCAAGAGGCTTTAGTTACATCTAATTCTGCTCTTCAGCCTCTCTTAAACAGCGAACACAAACACCTGCAGGGTGCATGGAGGCAGCCGGGAACCCAGCCGGTCCCCCGGGGGTGGCTGTTGCTGGGAAGGAAGGAAGTGACTGAACAGGGTCCAGCCCGGAGCAAACACCCAACCGCCTTCTCCATGCCCTGCAGTGTGAGTCCCGTGCTGCAGACCTCAGGGAATGACACTGGTGCTCTGTCCTGAAAAGAGGAGAAGGCAGGATGGATGTGTCCCCTTCTTCCCAGGAGGATGGAGGAGGTCACTCTTAGATCGATCCCACTAGAGATGCTTCAGCATCCTGAATTCAGGAGTTGCATATTACCCCGGGACACAAGCTCTGACTCAGTGTGACCTGAATCTTAGTTTGAAATTTTTATCTGCTCAGAGCAGTACCAACAGACTAACTGGGAAAGACAGCATCCAACTGCTACCACTGCAGCAAGTGACTCCTGAAAAAACAGCATTGTGAAGGACTGACCTTCTGCCTTAAAAGTAAAGCTAGGAAGAAGCTCACAACAGGAATGACGATTTCTTTGTCTGGATGGGAAGGGAGAAGAAATTTAATGTTTAAGACAGACCAGGCTTAGCAGCAAAAGGAGAACTACTGGTTTGGCCTTTTCCAGACAAAAACGTTCAAACTTGGGGTGTCAGTAGAAACCACCATAACAATGGATCAAGACAGAGAAAGTGACAGACTCCAGATATCTGGTGATGGAGCTAAATCCTGGTCTAGAACATGCAATGCCAGGCCTTGGGGCCAGTCAAGGAAAAAGCAATTTAGTTGTACCTTACACAGAATTCGGTGCCATTTAGGTTGCTGCAGCCAACATAGGACAAAACACCATGATCACAAAGGCAGGTTAGAAACCACACACTGCCTGTCCTCATTGCATATCATCTCCAGGCAGAACCTGTCCTTCCTGGCCCCTGCAATCTATCCCAAGCACATAACAGCACGACACTGGCAGGGCCAGCTAGGAGGGGAAGACAGGCAGCCTCCTGACTCCATCATCTCTGGAAGGATCTTAGAAAGATCTGCCTGATCTTTCACTTTCCAACAAACAAATATCTGTGAGATAATAGCTACCAGGTTAACATAAATCTTTCCAAAAACTGGGAGAAATATGATCCAATTTGGACAATACCTTCAATCATATTCTTTTAAATAGCAATCTTCCTCTTACAGCTCTTTGCCAGGAGCATATCCCTTCTGCTACTATGCTGCTAAAGCAGCTGCTTTCATCTCCACTAACAAGGGGAAACACAGACCTAATTCCTGGCTCCATGAAAAACTTTCCGAAGCCTTAATCCACCTTTGCCCAAATCTCCCCTCTGCAAGACGGGTATACTTATTCCACCATATTCTCTGTTTTTCTCCCCTGGAGTCTAAGATTTCTGGGTTTGGTGCTCTACATTTGTGCAATATCTAGGGCAATAGGGGCCTTGATCTCAGCTGACATACACACTTCTATAATTTAACCTATGGAAAGGCAAAAGGGGAAGTTTTTTAACCGTTCATTGCAGGTCAAGTTTTCATGGATTGTGATAGCCATTTTGAAAGAATGCTGTAGTGTTAACAGACCCTACCACTTTTTGTACATGGAAGGAAATAACTTGAAACAAGTACCGAGACCTAAAAATAAACTGTAATATGTTCAGCTGGGCATTCACTAACCCTAAGCACAGCTGCCAGAGGATGAGTTGCCACCCATCCTTACAGCCATTTATCTCCTGCTGGGGAAGAGTGTTACGAAGGGTGGAATTTGGCTGTATACATAATTACCTGGATTAGTGTTGGGACGGTGAGAATGCACATACAAGTCCTGCATACCCAGAGGACAGACAGTTGCTGCCCATGGTCTCCCCAATGAGCAAGAACTGTGCATCCTTAGCTTTCTGCTTACAGGGGCTTGCTTTTTAAAAGACGACAGATCCTGGTGTGGAATGAATATTGGATCTTTGAAGAAATACCCTGGTAAATGTTATCAAAAGAGTGAGTTATCTAGGAATAAGGACACTAACAGCAGACCTTTAATCTGTTCCCTTTTGCTTAGAAAGGGCTTGCCCTCCTTCCCCTCCCAGTCTACCAGGCAACCTCCTCTCTCCCCAGACATCACGCCTCCTCCATACAAACAGTCCTCCTGTTCACTGCCCTGCCACAGGAAGAAGAAAATCTGTGTGTAGTTATGCAGGCTGAAAGGGTTAAAGCCCCGAGAAGCCAGATCTCCATTTGTTTTTGTACTTACAATGAGCCCAAGGACTCCAGGAGGACCTGGGGCTCCCAATTCTCCCTAAAAGGAAAGACAAACATGGTTACGGACACTTTGTAGACAAACAGAGGCTGAAAGGCAGCTCAGTGTTTCAAGAACTTGAGGGAAGGGAAAAGACCGTCCCTCCCCCTTCCGCCC